CTGCCTTACACCGTTATATGATCAGAATGTTCTTGAGTATAATCTGACAAAGTGTCTATTTGAATATGTCCATAATTATCTTGTGTAAAGTCTGACATAGTGTCCAGTTTAAATATGTCCAGAATAATATTGCGTAAAGTTTGACACAGTGTCCTTTTTTGTACATGTCTAAAATGATTTGTATAAAGTATGACATATTGTTCCTTTTCTTTCAAAACACAACATGTTTTTAGGATAATTATTAAACGTAACATTTTGAACTTCTCTTTTGTGAAGTGAAAGCTGCTGCGCAATTATATTTACATCTTCGAGAACAATAATTGTAAAACTTTTTATTTTCGAAATGTGTTATATTTTCCAAACCACATAATATATGTGATGGCACTTTGCTATTGCAAACATGTGGCGTGTTTATGTATAATTGCAAATATATGACATGTTTATGTTTAAATGTAAATATGTGACATATTTATGTTTAATTGTATATTGTGATTTGTTTATGTTTAATTGCGATTATGTGGGATGTTTATGTTTAATTGTAAATATATGACATTTTTATTTACATTTTAATTGTAAATATATGGCATGTTTATGTTTAATTATAAATATATGGCATGTTTATGTTTAATTATAAATATATGGCATGTTCATGTTTAATTATAAATATATGGCATGTTTATATTAATTGAAAATACATGGCATGTTTATGTTTAATTCTCAAGAAAAAATATTCATTTGTTTTTATGTGTTGTTTTAGTATGATAAATCTCAAATTATGTACAGTTGACAAAATTATGTTAATACTTAAAAGCATATAATAAAGTGTAAAACGTTTCACCTTTTCTTTGTTTTCTTCCTGTTTGAGATGTGTATTACCTTTTTGCTCTTTCTTGCTTTCAGTGAAAATGATAATGTATGAAATCTATGTTATCTAATAGAATATAAAATAGATCTAACATTAACATATCAAAGGTTTCAGTAAATTGTTAAATGTTATCTCTTTCTGCTTATCCCATAGGACTGCTGGATGGAGACTTGGTTTGCAGGCAGTTACAGGAATCGTCTCCATTACGTTTATTTTGGGAGTTTTTTACCGACCAGCTTCCTTATACCACCCACAAAGAAGGGCGATTCTCCACTTGAGAGACCTACTGAAGCGTTCGAAGGCCAAAGACAAACAAGGAGTTATAGATGACCCTCACTTTATTGACTTCGGAGTTCTAAAGTCACGAACTGTTCAGGTCCTGATACTGGGAACTAGTCTGACTGCCTTTGGAGCTCATACACCAATCATTTTACTCGTGGGTTCAGAAAATCATATACAAAAATCAATAAAACTTTATCTTAAAATTGTAAAGAGTAGCCTATGAGATATGTACGCAGAAAACGCACATTTACATTAGGAGAAATGTTATAAAGAACAGACTTTTGCGTTTTCTCGTTTAACAATGTAAATTATTTCACTATAAATTATAAATAACTAAGCATTTTCACATTCACAAAATATAGTTTTGACATTAAATTTATCATTAGAAAAATACAATATGTCATTTATAACTCGCAAATTGTTCTCTGACATGTACGTGATTAATCACAACATTATTAAATGATTTGAAGAAGAAAAACAACATATTTCGTTTCATCTTGGTATTAATACCTATCATATTAGGACAAGTAATTACCTTACGAACAAATGTGATTTATACCTTTAATTTATGATAATTTTGGAAATATTAGGTTAAAAACCTTTTGTTTTAATTAATTTTGGACAAAGGTAAACATTTAGAAAGCTGGCCGTAGCTAAGCAGTTCGTGTATCAGACTGCGTATCAGAAGGTACAGGATTAAAGTCTTGATTCAGCTTAACACACTCCGAGCTTTAAGCTGTAAGTGCGTTATAGGAGTAACAGTCAATCTTATGATTTGGTTAGGTCGAATAAATCCCCAGTTGCGGCGAATGTCGTTAACTGTCCGGATATCCTGTGGCCAAGAGTTCAAATTTAAAAACTGTTATACTTGAAACCTAGTGGTCACTAATCTGACTGTTCAGCTCACGTGTACATAAGCTCAGGTTGAAAATACCAATAATTAAAACATAGACTAGAGTTAACGAAAAAAAAATCCTGAAAATTATAAAGAATGAGTAAGTTACGCCCCTCAGTGGTTCAATGGTAAGTCTGAAGGGTTATACCTCTAAAAATCTGGTTCGATACACATGGTGGGTATAGCACAGATAGTCCATTGTGTGGCTTTGTGCAGAACAACAAAGAAACAAACAATGAAGTTACTTTTAAATATGTCAGAGAAAATATTTCTACTAAATATTATTCTTCAAAACGCATTTCTTAATTTATAACATATCACTCTGATAAACCTCTGGTGAAGATGCAAAGAAACCGCTAAATTATGCAATTGATAAACTTTTGTTTTCAGCAAAAATTTCTTAGTTTAAAGCACAAAGCTCTACAATGGGCTATATGTGCTGTGTCCACTGCCAATGTCGAAACTCAACTTTTACTATTGTAAACAGTCAGACTTTCCGTTAAGCCACCGGGTGAAAACCGTAAAGAAGCATCAGTGTCTTATTTAACTTTTATTATCAGATGATAACATGCCAACTGATTTTTCGTTGTATCCAATATACCAGAGAAATAGAAATTTTTTAACCAACATTTTTTCTTCAGTAGCACATTAAATTTATCATTAGGAAAATACAATATGTCATTTATAACTCGCAAATTGTTCTCTGTTAAATCTTATCACTTCTGACATGTACGTGATTAAGGCGCTCGACTCGCAATCTGAGGGTCGCGGGTTCGAATCCCTGTCACACCATACATGCTCGTCCTTTCAAAGAGGGAAGGCTGTCAAGTGGGTTGCTCTTGCATCCTTGACGTAAGAAACAGCTTTAGAAACGATGGCAGAGCAAGATTTGCCATCGGCTCAACGGTCCACAAGGACTATGAGAAAAAAAAAAGCACAAGTGAGCAAGTAAATCGGAACATTTTACTCATCAAATCATGTTAAAAAGAAAAGGAACGTAATAAGGGAGGTTTCTGCTATAAATATTTCGATAGTTTGTGGCCAGTTATTACGAAGTACGAAGCCTAAATAGATTCTGCATTGCTACAAATAGAGATGCAAGTTTTAAAATAAAAAATACCATTTTAATTTATGCTTTGTTTACATTAATCACCGTCATGACGGAATCTTACTCGTATTATAAAAATAACTTGTATTTACTAGATTATACAACTGCACCGTATATTGTAAGTTTCACAGTTGTACACGGAATAGCATTATTTTATTATAGAATGTATCATTACTCTTAAGCTGAATGAGTATTTTAATTTGATATTTTTAGATAAACTGTGTTTCTGTGTATCTGAATTGTATCTATATATATCTAGATTCATATATATTTCTCAGAGATATAATTTTCTTGTGCAGCAATCTAGTATATTATACTATGCTTATAAAATTCTTCTTATTCATATTTAAAGTTCCACATGTTAGACTCAACCTTTTGAGTTATCTTGCAAAATGTATTTCTTATAGTCTTCTTGAATTATTAAATTGAAATTCGACTGTTTATACCTTTTCATCATTAACATTTAAGAATGTTGAAATATAATTATTCAAAATGACACAATAAATAAATGTTTCGTTTTGTTTTTATAATAAACTTGTAACTTAACTATCAAATTAGTAATGAAAATATTACATATTTTATTTTTTAAAGACATCCTTAATTAACCAAGAAAGCGAATTATGCGTTTAATAAATGGATTTTGAAGATATGATGATAAAATGATAATAAAATCATACAAACGCTGACGAAGATATAATATTAAGCTAAAGAGGCATGTAGATGTCATATCATAACTTTAATTACTGCAATGTTTTTGTATATTTCTTTCTCATCCGAAATGACCAGAAACTAAAAATTCTCTAACGACCCAGAATATTATTTGATGAAATGTTTAAAACATAAAATATGGCAACATAATTTATTTTTCAATGTTAGTAATTTTAATATTTACTTACAGGTTTATCAAGGTGAAAAAGAAGGTTTGGACTACCAGTCCTTGTTGCTGCTTCAAGTCTTTCTAGGCATAGCTTTCGTTTTTGGAAGCGGGATTTTTGGTTTTATCGTCGTAAAAAATAGTGCACATTGCATAATTCCTCGTCAGTATCTCTGTCAAATTGCTTCTTTCATGATAAGTGCCTCTCTCTTTGCTTTCACTGCTGTAGAAGAATATCAAGGATACTTGTTCTTCGTTTGGATTTACGGGCTATTCTATGGAGGTTACAGTTACTCACTAAAAATGTATACACTTGAAAAAGTGCGAGCTCGAAATTTTACCAGAGCTTGGGGTTTCATCCAGTGGGCACAGGCCATTCCGTTTATAATAGGAATTCCTGTTGCAGGTAAAAATAAAGAAATCAATAAGTCGTTAGAAGATCATGGCTCAAAATTCTCTAAAAATCCGGACCATAAACACTTAATTTTCTCATTACAGTTATATTTTCAAGTAGTATAGTTGTTAAATTTGTTTTTTCTATTGATAAATACACGAAACTTTAACGTGTAAATTTTAATTATTTATTTTCAATGGTGATAAGAATTTACAAAATGGAAAATTAAAATTCAGATTTTATGCCACCTACTTTTATTTTATAGGGGGATTTGTTACAATATTTAGTTTCCATCAATCAGAGTTCTTTAGTGGTTAGAATACAGAAATTAAAATGTATAGTTTCTTACTCAATTTTGCTCTGTTTTGTCACTTTTGTGATATTACCCCAAAAAAATATTTGTTGTTGATGCTTTTAAGCTTTGTTTGTAACAAAATTACTACTTCAATATTTTTCATTAACATAAATAAAACACAACACACATTTGATGAATTGCTTTGGTAGGTGTTCTTTCTCATAATGATGAGGCATTAGAAACGGGGCGAAATGTTAAATTTGAAGAAACACAACACAATAAATACTTATGTTTATTGCAACTTCTGACTATGAAAAAATATGAGTACAATGTCTGAAGTCAGTTACTATATAATTGTTTACAATGTTTGATTGAATGAAAGATTATTTTAAGTAAAACTTTTATAAGTAGCTTCTTTATTTGTGAGCAGTGTTTAATTTTAGTACCAATACCTTACTTTATCAGCATTGTCTTAACTTATCAAAAGACCATTTCTTTACCACTATTATTTAAGTTTGTCAGCAATGTCTTTCTTCACTGGGAGCGCGTATCTTACTTATTGATAAGTAAGCTCATTTCTTATACCATCAGAAATTAGAATGTTCTTATTTTATCTGTAATACCTTTCTTTTGGGATAAAGTAAGACAAGGCTGGCGAAGTAAAACATTGTTTGCATTAATTATGGATTTACATAACTTCCGTCCAGAGAACAGGTACTCCACTAGTAGTAAATAAAGTAAAATTTTACTGGAAAATGTCAAGTCGCTGTTAAAGCTAATATAAAGTTAAGTAAAACAATACTTCTTAAGTAAGACACTGCTGACAAAGTAAGATAGTGCATATTATGTAAGACAATTTTGATCAAGATATCGCAGCCTAATGAATTAGTTTGTTTTTGCTTTTTTTAATTTCGCGCAAAGCTACACCCTTTTTAACTGCCCACCACGGGTATCGAAACCCGGATTCTGGTGTTGTAAGTCCGCAGACATACTGCTGTGCCACTGGGGGGGGGCAATGAATTAGTATGTTGCTGATAAGTTAAAGTGTTGTTGTTAAAGTAAGATATAGGTTATAATGCACTATTAGAAATGTGAGCTTTTTATTGATAAAATAAAAATTAACCTGGTGAAGAAAGATACTACTGATAAAATACTGCTCATATGTAAGATGCTGATCGCATAAGGAAGTAAGGTACTGATGGTGATACTAATCTTACTTATGAATAAACACAATTCTGACAGTGAAGAAATACATTGTTGGTCTACTTAAATAGTAGAATTGTTTTGATAATGTAAGGCACTGCTGATAAAGTAAGATAATACAGATTATCTAAAATAATGCTGATAAAAATACATTGCATGCTAATAGATTAAGATACTACTGATAAATTAAGCTCCTGCTATAAAGTAAAACATTGTTTGTAAAGTAGTATTAAGACAGTGAGACTCTGTAAAGGTTATCTTAGGATATTAAAAGTTGCTTCCTTCATATATAATTGTAAGAAAAAAAAGGCAAAAAACACCCATAGAAACCGCAAAAATGAAAATTTGCATGGACCTAATGAACCCCCATACAAATTTGGTGATGATCCATCTACAGGGGGGCGAAGAAGTGGTAAAAAACGCAAAAACGCCCATAAGAACCACAAAACGCAAAACTGAAAATGTGTACGTATCTCTCCACGACCCAATGAACCTTCATACAAATTTTGGTGAAGATCCTGCGAAGTATTTACATGGACATATAACAGACAACAGAGAGTACTATCATATTTATATAGATATATTAGTCTACCAATAATGACTTACTTTGTCAAAAATGTCTTAATGTTTGGTGTCTCAACCTAGTAGAGTTTAAGTATGTTAATTGCGTCTTAGCTTACAAAAAGATTCCTACTTTTTTTTTTATAAAACTGTTTTTCTTTCCCAGCATATGTCTATCTTTATCAGTAATAACTTATTTTATCAGCAATGTATATGTCTTTCTTTATTAACTTTGTTTTCCATGTCAAAATATCCTTATTTTATCAACTTGTACACAGTTTCTTACTTTATCGTCACTTTTCTTTTATCGTGCATCAATTTTGTCAACATTCTCTCAATTTATCAACAGGGTCTTATTTTGTTTACAGAGTAGCACTTTATCTGCATCGTCTTATTTTGTTAACATTTTATCACTTTATCTGCAGCATCTTATTTTGCCAACACTGTATCATTTTATTTGCAGCATCTTATTTTGTCAACAATGTCTCACTTTATCTGCATCGTCTTATTTTGTTAACATTTTATCACTTTATCTGCAGCATCTTATTTTGCCAACACTGTATCATTTTATTTGCAGCATCTTATTTTGTCAACAATGTCTCACTTTATCTGCGTCGTCTTATTTTGTCAACATTTTATCACTTTATCTGCAGCATCTTATTTTGCCAACACTGTATCATTTTATTTGCAGCATCTTATTTTGTCAACAATGTCTCA